TGCGTCTACACGCGATTGGCCCATTCATAGACAGATGTTATGTTCTTTGCAGAGTAGTATACTGAGAGGAGGAAATGTTTAAATAAATGTCATACAAACATGCATTTTCTCATTAAATACTTGAATGCAGAATCACAGTAAATACAGCTCATCCCACATAGCTCTCATATCTTAATTTTAAATACCATGTCAAAACAGAATCAGTGCTGGGCAGGGAAAGTACAGAATGAGCCTGAAATGTATCCGGCTGCCAGAAAGTGATGACATACTCAGAATCTGATAGAGACATATTTAAAGGACATAGAAACCAATATAAAAGTGACATTAATTATTCAAATTAGGGGCAGACTGAACATCAGAGAAAATGCTTACAATAAGGAATCATAACCCATTAGGTAAAATTAAGACACAAGCCAATAATGATATGACTGAATGAATGAGTGGGTGGGTGAATGATAAAGGTCCTTCCTGAAAGACATCCAACTCAAATAGATGGATAAAGTTAGAAAATTTTCATTTTTCAACTGAAAAAATTGAGAACAGCCGAGTAATAATTGATTTAGGTGAGAATCATTAGTAGATCCTAAAACTTGCATGTTACAGTTTGAAAAGAAGCAAGATATTTTGCACGCCGAAAATATCACCTCACAATTAGCTTTTGATTACAAAGGGAAAGTAGTGATTACCGCCCCCCAAGTCACCAAGAAACGTGCATAGTTACCTAAACAGTCTGTACAATCATAGGTCCAGTAGCAATACAACATATTGTGAGAGAAAAAAGGTAGGATTTGTTTTGAGGAAGCAATGCTGTGCCCAGAAAGTCAGCAAAAAGGTCAAATTATAGTCCTGGTGACATTTTTCTCAGTGTATTTATCTTTTTAAAAGCAAGTATTCAGGAAGTATTCTGAGAAAAAGAGAACCCAAAAATATTTCCATTGTATAACTTTTTCTTCATTGTGTTATGTCTTGGATGATGGTTAAAAGGGCAAGTGAAAGTGAACTCCCAATTGTTAATATTTAATAAAATGTCACTCGAGCCTCTGTGTTCAACTGAATAGCTATACAGAGTTCAACTATTTTATATAACGCTGTAACAGTTTTAGCAAAATGAGTGGAAAATTGAGGGGAGAGTACCTGTTTCAACCACTAGAGGGCATTGAGCTCACAGTTGAAGATTACGAGTAAATTAGAAGAATAGAATCAACCTATCTCGTTGATGGGAATACGGGGTTCAAAGATATGTCCACCGAGGTCCTGGAAGAGAAGAACGTGCAGCCAGAGGAATGAGAAAAGAAAAGCCCTTTACTAGGTCCGCTTTTAAAACAGAATCATCCCACCGTTGCAGGCAATAAATTCTTGTCAAACCTCCACCTTACAATGGCCAGGTACTGAGCTAGGGAGACAAGAAAGATTAAAATAGACAGTAGCGACTCTGCCTGCATAAAATTTACAGCGAGCTCGTGGTGGGGATTAATACAGAAAAACAAGCAATTCTTGTGACCCTTGCTTCATTGATTAAGAGTCAAGTATTATAAAAACACAAAGAAGGGGCATTGAAATCAAAGAGGGGAGAGGGAGGAAGATGTTCTACAAATCACATCACAATAGGAGCCCACAAAAGCAAAAGCTTCGGAGTATGGTGTGCCTCAGATTAAGTGCACTACCAAAAATAAGATCAGCCCTCCCCCCCCAAAAAGCCACTTCAGAAATATGGGATGTATACAAGGGGAAAAAAGCAAGAAAGAAAACAACTTTTTACTACTATAAATCATATCTTAGTTTTTATTTTTAATTAGTACCTGTTTGCAGCACATAAAGATTATATTGCTCTTAGGCACTGATATGTTACAAAAACATCTCAGTTCCTGTTTTCATCCTCTTGCCCCTCCTCCCTTCCCTTCCCTCTACCTCTCCCCCGCTCCCTCCCCAGGCTTCATTTCCATTTTTTACAAATTATAATTATTGCTTATTTAATACATTCAGCAAACCTTTGAGCTTTCCCCCATACTTAGGATATATTCCTCTCCAGAGAATTACCAAATTGCACAAGATTTTTAATGTTATTATAATTGTTAATTACACAGAATATATCGATATAGTAGAATTTTAAGGAGTCATAAAAATTGTCTAAAGCAAGAGACAGGAAAGTAGATTCTTCTGTGGCCAGCACTGAGTCCCCTTTCTTGGCAGCCTTCCTTCTCTCCCATTTTTAGAAACAAGATCTTTTATAGCATTTTTCTCCATTTATGCATCTAGTCACAGCCCTCAGTACCTCAGTCCTTTCATGCATGTTCATCATTAGACACATTCCAGATGATTTTGGCAAGACTTTGTAAAACAAGGAGAAGCTTGACTTCATGGAAACATGGGCACACACACACACACACACACACACGTAACAACTGTGAAAACATACCACTAGCGAACAGCAGGACTGTACAATGGAGAAGAGTCCAAGAAAACCAGAAAACTCACTTAGAAACATCCTGTCCCTGGTTAACTTTTGCAGTAATTTAAAGTATCATAAACATCATCATAGCCTTCAGACTGCTACAACAAAAATCATACTGGGTGGCTTATAAACAACAGAAAAGTACTGTATTTTATCATGGTTATGGATCTTGGGAAATCAAAAATCAAGGTATTAGTAGATATGGCATCCTATTTCTGAAAGCTCACTTTGTGGTTCACACACAGCACCTTCTCATTCGGCCTTTTTGTGGTAGAAAAGAAAAGGAACCTTTCTCAGGTGTCTCTGATCATCCCAATTGCATTCATGAGAGTTGTGCCCTGATGACTTAATCATATCCCAAAGGCTCCATCACCTTATACCATAACTGCCATATACGAGTGTTGAGAGAGCAGAATTATTCAGCATAAAACACGTACTATTTAGTCAATATAAAATAAGTGCATACTGTAAATAGAATACAGAAGTAACCCAGTAGAACATGAGCTTTTTTATATAAGCAGGCCTAGACCCAGAAAGATGAGCTAATTGTCCAAAAGCCACATGTAAGTTAGCAGAGGTGCTAACAGGAGAGAATCTAACAGGAATGCATCCCATTTTGGTGTGTGGCTGACATTTAATTCTCTTGATACTCCTAGACAAAATTTAAAGAAAAATGATACTCCAGAACACCAAGTAACTTGCTCAAAGTTATACAACTTGAGTAAAAGCTGGGATTCAACCTTGATTCAACCCTCCAGTTTCCTGGTCTCTGGTCTTATGTGACTCTGACCTTCTTACTGCCCAGGTCGTCTGGATTCTACACTGTTCATTTATCTATTCTCATTCTTTTGAATTCACTCTTGCTGACATGTACCATTCCAGAAAGTAAAACTATACATCCATCCAAACTTCATGCCTTCCAAATATAATGTTTTAAAGACAACCCTCTTACATAAGAGTATTTCACAGCATTTCATCATCTTTACTTCACAGTTTACTATCTACAATTTTCTTTTAAACCCAAGAGTACTTCCGTCTCTCTTTACATGGTATCAATTATCTCATATGAATTTGAGCTCAATCAACCTATCTCCCCTTCATTGGGTGTGTGTTACAGACGCATTAAAATAAAAAATAATGGGGGAACTATTTACACAGATTTAGACAAAATGATGGTTGAGAGAAACCGCAAAGGAGTGGCCAGGTTTGCTGAGCTAGTAGTAGCAGGACATTTTGGCATCTTACCACTAAGAAGTAAGTCAGTGAACAGTTACTACAACCTAGTAAGAAATGAGGCATTCAGTTACTGCTGCCATGGCCTGGCTAGCAGGAAGCCTGGGAAATAAATACATCATTTTTCTCCTGTTCTTTCATTTCCTCTGTTGAGAATGCCACTGCCCTGACCCAGAAATGAAGTCACTTCTTATTAAGGATTTTCTTCCAAAACCTAGACACAGAGTAGGCACCAAGAGATACAAAGATGATCTAAGAAGGACTTTAAAAATACCCCAGGTAGTCTTTGCTCCAGGCAGCTCCAGGAACATTCAGTGTGAATTTCCTCTGCATATAGGCTGCTATTTAGCAACAACCTGATTACTGACAAGCAACACATAATTCTATAGTTCCCAAAAGTTCTCCAGCTTCTAAACTGATCACCTCGAGCTGCAGCTCTCACTCTGCATTTAAAAGTCTAGTTTGAAAACAAGAAAATAAATGTGTGCAAAGTAACTTCCAAATTTTGTCCTTTGGAACCTTGACATTTTCAGTAAGTTCTTACAGCCAGAATCATTGCCAAATCCCTGAAAGTTCAAGTCCCTGAGCTCCACACCGCTGCTTCAGGTAATATGAGGCTTGGAGCCCTCTGGGCCCTGACACATTTCTCCTGTACTTTGCAGAATGCTTTGAAGAATTTCTCTGGTCACTTAGCCAAGACTATCTCAACAAATTCCTACCTCCTACCTTCTTGCAAAAATGTGCTATTTAAAATTAGTCCCTGAAAAGTTGCATAAAATTTCTACAGACAGACTAGATTTTAATATCCTAGTCCAACTCACATTGGAAATAAAACATTTTAGGGCCAGGGGGAAGAAGAATGAGCCATAATAGAAAGTGACCAATATTAGAAATAAAATCTGTGTTCTAGTCATTGCTCTACTGAGATGCTGACCTAAAGGAAGAGATATAGCCTGTGTCTGTCTGACAGATACAGATTTAAATGAAATTCAAGGTCCAATATATGTGACTATTCTGTAGCTTTATGAATCTTTTTCATGATTAGCGACATAAGTGCCAGTCTGGGAGGCACAATGTCCTGAGTTTGATCCCCGGTACCAAAAAAAAAAAAAAAAAAATAGAATCTTTTTCATGATTTACTATAGGGAGTGATTAAGTACAATGTGCAGCATGCAAAATAAAAAAAATCTTTTTAAGTTACAGAACCCTTAAAAATAAGGAAGATAAAGTCATTTGAAATGACTTAAAATTTATCCTAACATAACTCACAGACTTTGAACTATAAAGGTGAGTGAAAACGTGTCTTTCCCAAGCATCACCCCTTAGGAGCAAAAACATTTTTACTCAAGGTTTTTTTCAGGGCAACTTTGACATCTTTATTCCTCAGGCTGTAGATTAAGGGGTTAAGCATGGGCACCACCGTGGTATAGAACAAGGAAGAAACTTTCCCCTGACTCATAGGTAAAAGAGAAGGCGGTTTGAGGTACATGAAGGCCCCTGAACCAAAAAACAGAGAAACAGCAATTATGTGGGAGCTGCAGGTGCTGAAGGCTTTGGACTTGCCCTCAGCAGAGTGCATGCGGAGGATGCTGGAGAGGATTAGAGCATAAGAAATAAAAATGGTGACCGTGGGCACACCAATGTCGATGCCCACAACAATAAAGACCACCAGCTCATTCACATAGGTACTAGTGCAAGAGCGCTCCAGAAGGGGGAGGATGTCACACATGTAGTGGTTGACAAGTTTGTCCACACAGAAAATCAGTCTCAACATGCACGCTGTGTGGGTCATGGCCCCGGCAAAGCCCATCCCATAGACACCCAAGAGGAGGAGGGAACACACCTGGGGAGACATGGCGACTGTGTACAGCAGTGGGTTACAGATGGCAATGAAACGATCATACGCCATGGCAGACAGGAGAAAGGACTCAGAAATGACAAAGAACAGAAAGAAAAAGAGCTGAGTCATGCACCCGGGATAGGAGATGATGTTTTTCTTTGAGATAAAGCTCATCAGCATTTTGGGCGTGATAACAGTGGAATAGCAGAAATCTATGAGAGATAAGTTGAAAAGAAAGAAGTACATCGGGGTGTGCAGGTGAGAATTCAACCCGATCAATGTGGTCAAACCCAGGTTCCCCACCACAGTGATCACGTAGGAAATCAGAAACAGGAAGAAGAGAGGCATCTGGAGTCCAGGCTGGTCCGTTAAGCCTGCAAGGATGAACTCTGTCGTGGAGGAGGCGTTCTCAGGTACCATCCTCAATTAAACGCATTCTGCAGGGACAAAGAAAAGGTGCATTGAGAATGAGAGAGCGGGAGAGACAGACAGTGTCAGCCCTTGGTGCCTTCACAGTCACCACTCCCATTTTTGAGACCAGGACGCACTGAGGTTTTGAACCTCAGCAGAAGAGCCTTTCCTGACGCTTATTCACCTGGTCTCAGGTTCCCCAGTGCCTCTGAACCCTGGAAGATTCACTTGCCTCCATTTATAGGCAGGCAATACTGGAGAAAAGGACCTCAGAAAGCCATTAAAGAGACTAGATAATCTTTAATTTTGTCTCTTTGCTGTGTTCTTCTAACTATAATTTTGGAGCAAGCGTATTGAAAGGGGCCAGTTTCTAGGAAGACGTTTCTGGTGGCTGCAGCCAACCCAGGTGTACCTGAAGCATCTACCTCATGGTTGTCCTGGACAGAGCAGAAATGTGAGGTAGCTTTTCACAAAGCTTACATACCTGAGAAGCGGACCTAAGAGGAGATCAAGTTGTTCAACCAGATGCAGTTACCGCCTCCTTCCGATCAGCACTTTCACGGTACACCTTTTAATCCGATCTTATCCTTAGCTGTTCAGAAAGATGAATGGATGCAGTGCCTCTGTGGGTGGAGGACTATAAACACATCTCTCCTCTCTCTGTCCTGATTGGAGGTCAGAGCCACCTAAGAGCCTCCAGAGATTTCCTGAGCTGGAGAACAGGACATGTAACCAAGCTTTGCCCTGAGGAGGCTCTTCTCCAACTTGCAAAAAGTAATTTTATTCTGAGTTCAGAGACCTGGGGACCTGATTAGATGCAGAAAGGCAGAAATTCCTCTGGGATCATAGCCTTATGCATTAATTTTTTTAAAAAATAAATTTTAGCTTATACCCTTGTTAATATTTGAATGGATGTTTAGAAATATAAAAACATTATTAAATTAACATCTATTAATAATATGCAAAGTACTGTGTAAAAATATTATCATTTATTGCACACATAATGCCTACCAAGCACTGTTTCTGGCCTACCAATATTCAGTAATTTCAGTCTGTCAGATTTTAATACTGTTTTAAATGTATTGCTGCATGTTAATCATCCCTCTAATACCATGAGCAGTGTTTCATTATCCTCATTGTAAATATAAAGTGATTTCCTAGATTCTAAATTACTAAGACCACATGAAATCTCTGCCCATCCTAGCCCAGCACTTCGGTATTCTTACCAATTGCTTTTAATGTCTCCCTGTGGTAGATAGTGAGGCCTAAAGAATCCTTGCCTTAGAAATTTTGTCAATGCTTTGAGAACTATGTTATAACGAACCTGACTAAATATATTAATGAATGTGCTAAGATCCAGGAAAGATAAACATAAAATGCTATGCCAGTACAGAAAGGGTTAACAAACAGTTTACATCTAAATTATCACAGGAAATGTACTGTTTTCTTAACTCCACCTCCCCCACAATCAAATTTATTTCTTTAGTACCCCAGGCTCTCAAACCTTGCTAGAGCATAGTGACTGCAATTCTCACTGCTGAGACATCATAGATTTGAAGCCGCAATAAGAAATTATCCAACGCCGGCTGTACAATGGAATTTGAAAATTATATGTTTATTAACAGTGCGAATCCTGCTGACCCACAGCACACTTAATAAAGCAGAAGATCTAACAACAGGGCTTTGTTGCATGCATTTCTCTTCTAAATCTCCTGCTGGTGATCTGAATATTTATTAGATGCTCTGATCTCATTTTCACACCCTCTATTTCTCAGCAAGAAAGTCGAGGTCACACGAGTCATAGAGCTATTTGATGAAGCTGTCCAGAACTAAACACGAATATCCAACATCTTCTGTTACACTGCAGCTCAGAAGAAACGTTCTTGCCCTCTAGTTTGACTAAGAGAGAAAATCTAAATAAGGGACAGAGGACACCCCAAAGGACAGAGACCTGGATGCCATGGTAAGAAACAGTGTGCATTCTCTAGACATACTGAGCAGGAGGGGGACCTGGTCAGAGCTGTGCAGAGGGAGAGCAGTTAACCTAATGGACTTTTGTCAGTGGTCTGTCACAGTGATCCTCCAAGGGCTATACTCACTTATAATTCATACACTATGCCTTAGCTCAAAAGTACCAACCCAAAGCATCCCCAATAAAATAAGGGACATCGGATAGATTTTCAGAATAATTACTAGACAAATGACTAGAAGACTTTCCCCGTCACACAATGTTGGCCCCATCTGATGGCTGTAGTCTCTTTACACTGTGCTCTGAATGATTTTCTCAGACTCCGAGTTCAGAGCCCATCACCTAGTCCTTTGCACTGACATCTTTTATGCCTCCTTTCATGTTACTCAGCTTGTTTTTTAGGCTTCTGCTGTTACTGTGGCAACAATATTAAGGCAGATACAAACAGCAAGAGCTCCTTCACTCCACCAATTATCACCTGCTTCCCAGCCCTATAGCATCTCTGTCACCATGATGTGAGAAGTATATGAGAGATTCTCGACCATTCAGATGCATGTGGAGACCCAGAAATGTGCAGAAGTTAACACCACAGGGCAAGGAGGGGGTGTCCCTCTCTTCTGCACCCCTGGCATCTTTACTCTGCAATATTTCAAAGGGCTTCAGAAGGACTTACTGTTAGTTTCCCATTAAGATTATCAGTAAGATGTTCATGATTCCTTGCTTCACTTACCTTCTCCCTTAGGAGCCCTTAAAAAATAAGCGGTAAAAATAATCTATACTCAAGTACTTGTTTCCAGTATGGGTATTTGTTGAAGATTCAGGTCAACCAGTATTTAGAGAAGGTATGAACAAAATGTTCCTTATTCCATCTGGGAGAACACAGCCCCACCCAAAGTTGGTTTTGGTCAGAAAATTAAATACAAATCACTAAATCAATCTGAAATTTACTACCTGAAATTCCACATTACAAAGAGCTTTTGTGTCTTGAGCATGCCCTACCAAAATGCCAAAATTTCGGAAGTAGGATCACAAGCCATTATTAGCTAACAGAGGTCAACCAAATAATCTTAGTTAACCAAAAAATCCCATGGCACTTTGTCCTCAGGTCTACTGAACTTAACATGCCCTATCCAGATCCCTTCTTAAAATATCAGATGGTAACTAGGTTTCCTTAAATTTACACCTTAAAACTAAAAGTACCACTGAGATTCCAGCAGCTTCCAAAATACTTACTAGTCTCTGATTCTCAGTGTCCCCTTCAACAAAATGGGGCTGTTGTGAGGATCAAATTAAATCATGAAAATGGGACAACCTATCAGAGAGGCTGACACGTAGAAAATACTTGGTAAGTTACCTAAGCAACTACATAATAGATGTAATTTAGAGATGAAATGAGAGAAGAGAAAATCTTGTAAAAGCTAGATAAAGCTAAAAGAGAAGAGAGGGGATGTTGGGAGGAAGAGGACAATAGATGGACCTCAGATGGGCATTAAACAATGATTGTTTGGGCCAGGGATATAGTTCAGTGGCACGGTGCCTGTCTGGAAGTGAAAGGCCCTGACTTTGATTCCCACTACCAAATAAACAAAATAAAATGAGTTTTTTCCAACACTTTAACGGAAGGCCCACTTTCCCAGTGAACCCCTGACAGCTTCAGGGTCGCTGAGTATTTTATCATGTCCTGGCTCCTCACTCTCCCAGGGCCCTTGCTCCACCACACCACAAAGACCAAAGCTAGTGAAGTTTCCTGTGCAGTGTGCAGCCTTCTTTCCTCTGCCCATCTCTAGGCTCACTAAAAATTCCTCTTCTTTGGACATTCCCCATCCTAAAGTTTGGTCTACCCTCCCTCCACTCTTTGTCAAACCCGCTCTAGGGAAATGTTTCCCTAATTCTTCAACACAGTCTGCTGAACTTTGTTAGGGTTTATTCGCACTCCACACCCTCTTCCAAGCATTTCATTTTAATGGAGACAAAATCTTTCATCAAACAAAATGTCTATAATGATGTTTTAAACTAACACTCAATTGATAAGAGTATACTTGTGTCAGGTAAGGCATCGGGAATCGTCATATACTGGGCTTAAAATCAGTCACACCACTTCTTTCCTCTACTTGGCAAACTAATTACAGCTCCTACATCAGTTGTGTGTGTGAGAGAGTCTTTGGGGAAGTGACATTTGTCATAGACCAGTGCATACTATTCCTCTACATGTAGGGCAGATTTCTGTCACTGCTCAGTGATGAGAGGCCTCAAGAGTAAATCTTACAGATTTCTCACTGCCGTGGTGATTATGATACATCTCAATCCCTGCTCTCGGTCCCGCTGCTATCAGCTCACAACTAGAGGAAATAAATCATTATCACAAATATGACACCAACCCCACAGGAAAGAGGTTCCTTGGGGCACGGAAGGCAAATAAGACTGAGACTTCATTAAAAATTGACTTTTCTCCAGGAGCTTAGAGGATTCTTGTTAGGACAATACAATAACCAAGAAAAGTGCTTTGGGATGCATGTCACTTTAGAGCCTGTTGCCATGGAAACTATGTCTCAAAAACTCAACTGGGGCTTCACTAAAGTCATGTTCCCTAAGGAGCAGATGAGGCCCAAGCAGGAAGCAGTGTAGGAAGAACTATTCTTAACTCCGCTCCTTTTGTTGCAGAGCTGCCCTCTTTCCAAAACTTACATTTCCTGATGGTGCTTCATTGTTTTATTTGTTTCTATTTTCTTCTTTTCTTGCATTCTATTTCTGTAATTGCATATGTGAAACGTGTAAAGGCAACATGATGCCTGTCCAATGCATGCATTAACTCAAGACTTCTAGGGATATGAGACTGGGCACGGAACAACAGCAGTCTCACAGCACAGAAGGGCAGGACAGGCATCTAAGTCCTTGAACCTGGCCAAATATAAGAGATGTCAGCTGAAAGGTCTCCATTTGAAATGGCAGTCATTTGCAGTGAAGGAAACGAGTGTCAGGAATTATGTTTTTGCAACCTTTTTAACCTTGATTTACTTTTATTATCTCTAAATCCTTAATG